CATATTTCACTACTTTAAGCAACTATATTGAAATTGATAGCCCTTTGTTTCAATGTTGAACTCCTCTAAAACGTAGTTTACAGGTTCATAAATAAAAACTCTGAAGAATTGTTTGGTTAATTTATTTTTGCAAATAGTATGTTAAAGTGAAAAAAATCCCCCCCCCCCAGAAAGAAAAAACATTTTAGGCAGCTATGTATAAATGAGCTTTGAGATATTTAAATGAATAAGTATTCCGTGACAGACGAAAAGAAGTTAGGTTTTTTAAGGACAACTATCAAACATCTTAGCATCATGTTCGAATAAATTAATAAATATAAATGTTTCCATACAATTTGTTAATTTATTTAATGGTTTAATTATTATTTCTAGTTTCATCATTCAGTTTAATTGCTTATATTAATTGTTAGTTCGTTTACTTAGTTAATTTTTTTAACAGTGTGATAAAGTTACTTTATTTGAATTCAATAATGATTTTAGTATTGTAAAAATACATTTTTTTAAAGAAATCTCCGGTAGATTTAGAGTTGGATATATTTTTAGTATTATGCGTCTTCGAACTTTAAGGATCTCTCTACTTTTTTTTTTTTTTTTCAAACGAAACAAATTAATTTTAGACAACTTATTTTTGCTTCAAGGTTGTGTTCCTATGAAAGGTTCATAAATAAAATCTCTGAACAATTGTTTAATTTATTTTATTTGTGTAAATATTATGTTAAAGTGAGAAAATATTTCCCAAAAGAAGACATTTTTGGCATAAGTGAGCTTTGAGATATTTTAATGGATAAGTAGCCCGAGACTGACGAAAACAAATTTGGTTTTTTTAACAAGCAAAAAATGATAACTATCATACATTTTAACATCATGCTTGATTAAATTAATAATAATTTACATTATTTTTAGTTTAATTAATTGTGTAATTATTATTGTCATTTTAATTGCTCACATTAGTTAACTTTATGTTTAATTTATAATTAGTTTACTTATTAATTTTTTTAACTCTGTGTCAGTCACTAAATTTTAATTCAACAATGATTTTAGTAACTGCAATCGTAGGAATATTTTTTTTTCCAGAAAACTCACATTTAAAAGTTTGATATTTTTTTAGTATTTTGCATTGCGTCTTCAAACTTTACGGATCTCTCCTCTCTCCCTCTCTCATGTCTTAGACTATATATTAAGGCTAAATAAACAATTAAATTATAAATTACTTAGTTTTAATTTTTTTTACTATATATTGGTTAAAAAATTAATGAACAAAATCAAAATTTACATAACAGAGTAAGTTAATGATTTTCTTAACGACATTTAAGAAAACTATTAAATTACTGATACTGATTATCTCAACGACATTCAACTTAATTTTAATAAGCAAATGCCTGTAAAAAATTATATTACAAGATTAGATATCCGATATGTTACTAGAATGAAGCCGAAATGAAGGCAATTATTCTTCTAAAATAGAATTGTATTGATTTAATAATCTTCTTAATATCGTGTTATAAAAGGTTACTAAGAAACAGAAATAGCTTTGATAACACTCCAAATGGACGAGAATAGAAATAATTTTCTGTATTTTCTTTTTCAAACAAATAAGAAAGAAAAAGAGTGGGGAAACGAAAAAACTGAATGTATAATAATATGAAATATTGATTGAATTTAGTTTTCTCAGTAAGGAATTATTCTTATATTTTTCAGACGATTCGAAACGCAATTCTTTTTTTAAAAAAATTCGTAGAAATACATAATAATTTATGTGATTACTTTAAGGGAAAGACAGGCTAATAAGCTTTTTTTTATCTGCTGAATAAAATTTTAAAAATTCTTACTTAGATTTAATAAAATTTTCGATCGACAATTTGAGTTGACTTAGAAATTTGTTTTTAATGCCGTTTCATGTGTGATAACTATAAATCAGGGGGAAAAAAATCATTAAAATAGATATTTTTTTAAATATGAAATTAGACACAGCTTACTTTATTTAAGCGTAAATAAAGTAATTTAATTTTCGTGTGGAATCGACTAAGCGCACTTCAAAATTTTTAAAGGATGCCCTTCCAATGAAAGGCGATTTTAGAACTTTAATAATTTTTATTGATGCAACTGAAAGATTCTCGAAACAAAAAAGATCAATCAGCACTTTAAAGATTTCTACAGTAAAAAAAAAAAAAAAAAAANAAAAAAAAAAAAAAAAAAAAAAAAAAAAAACAACTCACACGAAATTTACTCTGTGCAAATCAGGATGATTTCAATGTAAAATTCATTAATATATAAGTAAATTACAAAATTTTAAGAAATACATATCAAAAGAAAATCTAATTGCTTATTAATTTAACATAAATTTCTTGAGATGTCAAAAAATTATAAAGCCATAGAAAATTTAACTTGCGATTAAACTAATATAATTTTTTTTACTTGATTTATTTTTAATATAAATTTTCTTGAACACAATTTTTCTGTTAAACCAACAAAAAAATGAAAATCCTATCTTTCTACTTTAAAAATTGTTTTTAATATATATTTTTAGAACGCAAATTGCGATTTAATTTTTTTAAATAATAATAATAAAAAATTAAAAAAATACTGAATGGAATGCATAATTTAGTATTCTTTGATGATTTTTACACTGAACACCTACGCAACTGAACATCTGCACAAAGTGAACATCTGCCGGTATTTAGACCTCCATGCTTTAAAGGAACATAATTNGAAAAAAACACACCTTTTTTTCTGCAGTGTTTCTTCAATAACAGAGAAACAAATTTACAGGGATTCGCTCTAGTAAGAAAGCTTTTGTTTTTATTTATTATTTCATTATTAATTTACTACGTTATAGAAAACTGCAGACATAAAGATTCCAAAAAAATCAATTTTTAAAAGTTTATTTTAGGTTTATAAAAAAAATAGATGATTCAGTTTAAAATAAAAAAAAAAGGGACTTTTCTGGATCGAGTAAAAGAAATACACTAAACCACACAACTTGTAGATCTAATTTTTATCTAAAAATGTTAGAACACTTCATTATCGATTAACAAATTTTATTTGTATTCGATGATAAAAGGTAAATTTTATTTAGTCTATGAAAGTTAAAACAGAAAAAAAAAATTGATTAACTGTATTTCTTTAAAGATACTACAAAACTAATAATTCGATAATTAATGTAATAGTCATGTTTTCTAAACAAACAAACTTTTAGAATTTTTAGTAAAAATGTTTCTTTTTCAAATTTTAGTTAATTTTAGAATTATTATAAGCGCTTGAAAAAAGTAAAATAAATTTTTAACTTATTTAAGCTAATTTTTCTTTTTAATATTTTAGTTAATTTTAGAGTTATAATTAATATTTGATAAAAGTAAAATACTTTTTTTATATTATTTAAGCTAATTTATCTTTTTAATATCTTAGTTAATTTCGAAATTATTATTGATATTTGATAAAAGTAAAATATTTTTTCAACTTAATTAGGCTATAGATTAAGATCTATGTAGTGGATTGATTTTCTTAACAAAGATATTCTTTTAAGTTTTTTTTAAAACTCTTTTATGCAAAATCTTTTACTTATATAATAATTAAACCAAAATCATTGTTTCTCGTGCAGCAGGAAAAGAGATTTGCTAGAATATTCACACTGATGAGATTTCAGCAATAAAGCATTTTTAAATTTATTTTATGTTTCTTAAATTATAGGCTTTTGAATAAATTAGAGAAAAAAATTTATTATAAATCCCGATTTCTATTTTAAGATTTATTTTCCTAGATAAAGAAATCGAAATAAGTATCGTATGTTAAAGTATTAATGTCATATATTTTAGCTTTGTTTCACCAACAACAAAAAATTGCATTATAGAAATATATATATAGTATTAATTTATCAATTATCCTATTTTTCCGTCTTTTTACTACACATTAAATATTACGTGAGTTCACAAACTTCGCCTCTTAGAGCAAAGATCATAATAACTACAGATGATAATATAGCATTATTCAATGGTATCTCGGAACAAGAAATTTTAACTATAAAATGGCAATATAGTATCATTTAATGGAATCTTAGAGCAAGAAATATTAACAACACAATAACATTAAAGTATATTGTTCAATGTCATATTGTAGAAAGAAATATATTAAATGTACACTAATTTTCTTATTGCGCCCTTAAAATTATTAACAACGTTAAAAGTTTTAAAACAATGAAATGAAATATGATTATGTTTCAACCTAGTAGTACATATATAGATATTTAAAAGCAAGGAGATATTTTAAAACTGAATTTCGTAACTAAAACAATCAATATAAATATCGTGTGTAAGAATATATGTGTCAGCAAAAAAATTAATCACAGAAAAAAATAGTGGCTTAAAATAAATATATTAATTATCCAATTTTTCCATCTTTTTATTAAACAAAAAATATAGTTTAATTTCACAAAACTTCACATCTCTAAGCAAGAAATATTAACTACAGAACAACAGCGCATCATTCAATGGCATCTTGGAGTAAAAAAATATTTATTTAATAATTACACCATATGACCATATTGATCAGTTAAAGCGATGAACAGTGTTCTTTTTTTGAACAATAGACTAAAGTATGATCAAATTTCTAGTTGTGATAAATATATTTCAGCACAAAATTTCAAAATAATAACGTGACTGAATATACTTAAAATAAAAACATTATGTTATTTTTTTCTTTTTTTAAGAAATATATTTTAAAGCGAAGGAATATTTTTTTTTCTATTTTTTTAATTCTATTTCTTTTTTAATTCCTTTTTTACAAAACTAATCTGACAAAATCTAAAATCTCTTAGATATATAAAGTTAGTAATTTATTGCGAATATTTACATTGCTTATTTGTGGCGTATTGCCAACATTTTCTATAAAAAAGATAATAACAAGTATGTTCTGCAAACGAATTTTTAGAAAAACGTGTTTCAGTACATTTCTAAACATGGAATACAATACGGGTAAATTATGAAACAGATAGAATTAAAGCTTACCTGTTTCAATCTTTTCAAGAAGAATAGAGACAACTAGCCGCAAGAAATTCCCGCCACGCAATAAACAAGAAGCGAAAAAGGGAATCATTTTACCGGCACGCGTCAGTGACGTCATACAACAGCATCATTTCAAGGCCATCAAGCGGCAGTCGCTTTAATCAAGAAAAATAGGGAATGGAAAAAAAATCAACAAAGGAAGTAACTACTAACTGTTAACAAAACGAAAAAAAGAAAGAAGCAGACGATATACGATACGCTTCACTAACGAACGAGAACCGAATATTTAGAAATGAGTAAGAATTGCAAGCGATAAGTTTTATTACCTCTCTGAATCATCAATATCACATTTCATTATCAACATGCAAATTACCTTTAGACCTACTTACGAAGTTTCTTTTCTTTTCTTTTTTTTTAATAATTAGAGTTACTCCATTTGTCAAAGGTTCACCTTCAAATTTCCTTTTTGTTTAATTATTGTGATGTTTAACAACCCATAGATCATTGAACTCAAACTTTTAGAAGTTTTGGAATAGACCGAAAAAAAATTTGAAGTTTTGTTAAATTTTTTTACTTTCAGCATCAAAAAATAAATAAATAAAATAATAATAATAGTAAAGTACAAAAAAAGAAGTTTAAATAATTATATTTTACCGAAAATTTAAAGAAAAATCCGCACGTTAATTTTACTTTCTAAAATTTTAAATTATGCTGTAAAAATATTCAAAACTATTCTATTTGGATTTCATCATCATCATCATCATCATAGTTGGCCAGACAGCCCAATGTGAACCAATGCCTTCCTCTGAATATTTCTCCATGACGACTTCCGATTTACCTTTGATCTCCAATTCTTTTCATTAATTGCGAGAAAATCAGACTCCACTGAGTCAGCTCATCTTAACTGCGGCCTTCCCCTCTTTCTAGTTCCAGTGGGTCTAAAAAGCAGTATCTTTTTTATTGTATTGTCATCACTCATTCGAATCACGTGGGCTTTCCAATTCATTCTATTTATTTTTATGTATTTAATAATATCAGGTTGTTTATAAATCTTGTACAGTTCAAAGTTAAATCTCCTTCTCCAGTCATTGTTTTCATTTACACCACCAAGTATACTCCGCAAAATCTTTCTCTCAAATGTTGCGATACAATTTTCCTCCTGTTTTGTCATTGTCCAAGCTTCAGAAGCGTATGTCAAGTCAAGACTGGACTATTTGGATTTAGAATAATTAAAAAGAGAAGGGTGAAAAAACACTTTTCACACCCTTAGCTTTAATCTAATGATTTTATTCTCAAGTAATAATCTTAATAATTCGAGTGACTGAAGACGCTTAATATGTTAATTGATAAATAACGATATTTTAAGCTACAAAATCAAGCACAAAATTGTACTCAGTTTGAAAAAAACACACCTTCTTTTCTCTAGATTTATATTTTTGATCCAAAAAATATTCAGGGAAGCCGCTATCTGGGAAATATTATCCAAATAGTTTAGAACGATCTGATTCAAGTCTCTTAATGCTTATCTCGCTTTTGGCATATTTCATCATTAAAGAAATCAAATAACTTTTGCACACAGGTATAAAACTCGTTTACTCAAAGATCAACGTAAAAAATAATTTCTTTTAATTATTTATTATTATTATAGTCAATTTTAAAAGTATAAGAAATACAAATTTTTACATTATTTTTAATTAAGCAACTTTAAATGACAAAATCCAAAATATGAACAGAATTGGTTATATAGTTCTTAGAAGAAGTTCATAGTTCATAGAAGAATAAGAATGAAAAATCGACTTTTTTATATTTATACATCATCAAAAAAATGGAATTAATATTTTGGTACCCAAACTTTTGACCACTTTTCTGTCTAAACTGTTAAGAAACTATATTTTTTAGATCAGTGGTTACCAACTGGAGGCCCACGGGCCACATCCAGCCCGCCAAGTCATTTTTTGTGGCCCGCGAACTAAAATATATTAGTTGTCATTTTTTTGCGGACAATTTTCGTAAAAAATCTAAATGAGTTTAAAATACTTTTTTTTCGTTTAAAAAAACATATTTTCTTCGTTGCTGTGAAATTTAACATACCAACGGTGCAACAAAATTTGTTTCTCAGATTTTGCATTNACAAGGGAAACTAGGGAAGTGTGACTCGCCAATTTTGAAATAAACTAGTGGGATGTATGCCTTATGAGGAATAATTTTAGGGGGCAACATTCGTTTCGGCCCATAGAAGGTCCTGTGAGAGATAAAAAATTATTCAATATATAGAAAAATCGGTATTTTATTACTTCAATGCAGACTATTAGGTATTGCAATTGTCTCATACTCCAATTAATTTGTAATTAATTAGTTAAATTATTAGCAAATTAATTATTAATTGATAATCAATTATTATTTAATTATCATTTAATTATTGATTGATTAATTAATAATTAATTAATTGATTTGCAATTACATACTCCAATTAACTAGGAAAATTTTTTGAAAAAAAAATTTAAGAAATTTGATGTCAAATTTTTTTTAAAATTAACCTAACCGGTTTTTCTGAAAAACTACAGATATATAAAATTTTCGAAATCAATTTTGACAATAAATCTGCGTTATTATAGTACGTGAAAGNTTCCTTCAAACACAAAAGAGTCCTACATAAAATTTTGATAAAGTTACGGCCCGCCATTTCACTGGTGTTTTTCATTGCGGCCCCCGGCCTCATGTAAGTTGGAAACCCCTGTTTTAGATGGTTGCTATTATTCAACCACAACAAGTTCGCTTAGCGGAAGAGTTGACTTTTTCATAGGTGGGGAAAGTTAAAGCGTGAAATATGAACGCGTTGCTTTTGTCGAGTGAATCAATTAAACAAATATGCAAATTCAGCCGTTATAAAAATATGTTGAAAATGTCCAATGGGAAGAAAAAAATTCTGTTGAATTGTGAAAAAACCGCGATAGAACATCAAATAAGGTGTCTATATTCATTTTCCTCCGATTTTTCTGTTTCTCTTTCACTAAGACTTTTTTTTGTCCTGATAATTGAACTAAAACTAAGCCTTCAAGGCAAAAATAATATCGTTTTCAACTTATAGAATAAGACCGATTCTTTCAAGATTGTTAAAGTTTTGGTACAAATGTAAACACGGAAACAATTTAAAATATTTTCCAATTTCTGAGAATTTTGTGAAGTCTGAAGACCTTAATATGAAATTTTGGAACACTTAAATAAACTTCCTGTGCTTTTGACCAGTATTATCCTCCAGAAGAGGATATACGCGTAGGGAATTTGTAGATGATAAATAAATAACCAGAATAACAATCCTACTACCATAAAAGAAGGAGAACTTAGTTCAATACAAATAAAGATAGTCCAATGCTATCTATCTGTATCAGAGTCTGAACATAGCATTGAACACTCTTCAGATCTAGGATTAAAATCACTATTCAATTCAATGAATATTTAACGTATATTACTTCTGGATAAACATTAGAGAAGAAGTTTCCTATCTTTATGCTAAGGCAATCAAGATTTTTTTCTTTACTGTCTTTTTCTTAAAAATTTATTTCTGTGAAATTTCATTTTCGGTTATGAGTAAGGCCCGGATTTTGATGACATTTGCATTTTTTGCATTTTTGGACATTTTTTGTCCTTTATAGCATTTTTTTAGATTTATAGGGCATTTTACATTAAATTTGGCTTATTTTGCATTTTAAAACATTTTTTTTAATTTTTTGTTAATTTTCTCCAATTTTTATCATTTTTTTTATAATTTTTTATTATTACACTGACTTTCAAACAGTGAAGAGAATCTCTAGGATACTAACAGGTGAAGCAACATCTTTTCAAATTGAAGAAGAATTGTCAGTAAGTGAGACCGTCTTTTTCAAGTACGCCCCAATAACATCAGTAGACGTTGAAAGAAGCTTCTCCAGGTATAAAAATTTACTTTCAGACAAGAGACGCTCGTTTACATTTCGAAATATCAACAAAAAAATTTAATAATCCAATGTAATTCTGATATTTAGTAATATTATGAGATGGAAGTTGTTNTTCAGATTTATTTTTTAAAAATACATTTCCGTTTTATTTATTTCGAATTTACATGTATTCTTTTGCTACTTAAACATTGTTACATAATTTGGTTTGGCAATTTTTTTAAATTATTTTTATTTATTTTTTGCGTGACTAGCAAAACCAATGTTTGTGTATTCAAATATACATTTAATATACATTTTATTTATATTTTAATAGGTTTAGGCACAAACTCTTTTTCATTTTAAAGAGTATATTAATGATCAAAAATAAACAGGCTAAAATATTTTTAATCGTCATAATTTCGTAAATGTGAAAATTTATACCAATATTCCAAATTATTAACCTTACCGGTACACTATAAAACACTAAAATATTTTATCTTAGAGCACGGAGTCGTTGAAAGTGGGGATCAAGCGGCAGCGGTTATTGCAGTGGCAGTGGTTATTGCAGTAACCTAAGACTGGACTTAAGTATGGCTCTTCTACATTTCTATTCATAGAAAACAAAATCATAAAAATAAGATATATTTTTACATGATACTTAAAACGGAGCTCTGGAGCAGAAAAATCACTTCTTAAGACCCCGTGTTATGAATAAGTCATTGGTGGTAGGTATACTTTCTTTGGATTGCACTAGAGCTGTGTAATGAGCTATTGGCGACTGTGTGGGAAAGATCTCTGAGGGTGGTCCAAAGACATGCCATCACAATTTTGATCCTCTGCTGAGGGGATCTCATTCGTGAGGCCACTTCCTCAATTTAGACATAGATCTAATAAGGAAAGAAATTTTTTCCATATTCCTGTACCAATGGTACTGCTCAGCAATCGACCACAGGTCTACAAATTTCACTAGCATGTATATCGCATGTACTCGGTGGGTTTTAGCGAAGTCGAGGACCGAACCCCGGCCCTCTGGTAAGGAGTCCGATTTTCTAATCACTTCACGACCCCAAAAATAAATCATTGAAGAAAATTTAGTTATAATCTAAATAAGGGGATTCGGAAAAAGGATTATGGATGGTTGACTGAATATAAACAAGTTTTTTAAGTACGGTAGACATTTGAAAAACTTCCAGCTTATCCTTCGGCTTTTGTAATGATTACGAGGCGATGTG